GCAGCAGGCAGGAAGTCTGTGGTGCGGCTGCTATGTCCAGGCTGGAGCAGAACTGAGGCCTGGGGACAACACATAGCCCAGCCAGTCCTACAAGCCTAATGGAGCAGCATTGGGAACCTAGGTCTCCTCTTCCTCCCTCACATCAGCACCAAACCCAGAGAGCCTCTGTGGGGATGGATATCCCCAGCAGGCAAAGACAGGGATGTCAAAAAGGCAAAAGGGAAGCAGAATGAGCTGGAAAGGAAAGACTGGAAGGGGCAGGGGACATGAACAGCCTCCCCCTCCTCTTGGCTCAAAGTCACCTGTGTCAGCCCTGGATGCTTCTTTTCCAAGGGTGACTCTCCCCACCCCCATCTCTCCACTACAGGAGCCCTCCGTGCTCTGCAGCAGTCACTCCCTGCTGCCCAGGACACCAAGGAGCAAGAGGCAGAGAGGGAAGGAGGAGACATGGGCAGGATAGACCATGGCTCCAGACACCACCTGCTGAGCTTTGGTCAGCAGGCATCCCAACAACGAATGCCCCAGGAAATATAGGGTGCAGGTGCCAACTCCAGACACCACAATCAGAGTCCCCAGGGACTTCAGCTCTGTCTCCCAGGAACCACCCCAAGTTTATCAAGATGTCTCATATCTGGGGAGGCATCCATGCAACTACTGGCCTCCCCATCACCTACAAAAAAATGGACAAAAATCTTGCCATGTGTGAGCGAACCTGCTGGATGAGCTTTTAATCCACTCCCTCTAGTCCTGACTTCTCTGCCCCCTCCTGCCCATTTCCATCCACCTTGTTTCCTAAGAGGGTGAGGGCGAGATTGGCACAGTTCACCTCCCTCCTTCCTTCTTTCCTTCATTCCTGGGAAAATTGAAGTTGAGGAAGACCAAGTACCTGGGTCAAGGTTGCCGGGAAGTCAGCAATACAACTGGCCTGGGAACCTATCTCCTGGGTTGGGGCGTTTTTTTCCTTCCAGGTGCTCCTGCTGGGGTCTCTCTTCAGAAGCACAGAAAGGTGGAGTCCAAGTGACTGTTAGTGCATATGAAAGTCAGAGGTCAGGGCGTGGGGAGGGCAAGGAGAGGAGGGAAGAGCAGGTTAACGATGGGCATGGGGATGCCAAGGACAGCAAGTGAAAGGATTACCCCAGTCTGCTGACGAGTGCAAATCATATTCATATATGTGCTAAATACAGTCACTATATTGTAGGTTTTTTTTTTTACTAGATCACAGCGTACAGAATCAAAGGTTTGCATTTCGTATGGAATGTATCCAAAGAGGCCAGCACCACAGTAGGACAGCTTGCAATCACACACCCTGATAGTTCGGACAAAATAAAGTTCGTGGAATTTTATTTAACTTTTTTTTTGTATTCATAGTTGTTTGTCATCGTACCATTGCATGCAAAGCATTCCACTCCCAGAAACAACGCCAAAATGAGGTAATAGGAGTAATAAAAAAAATTAGTATCCTTTCTAAATAAATAAATTATAATTAAAAATGCAAAACAACTATAAAAATAATTAAATAAGAACCCACGATATCTACAAGTTAGTCATAAATTATGATTGTTAAATATAAGGCATTTAAACTCACAAAACCCTGTAAACTAGCAACGTGCCATGTTTTTGTTTTTTTGTGTTTTTTTTTTCATTTTTGTTTTTCTATCAGCTGAAATCGCTCTAGCAATTTGCTCTACGCGCGCAGGAGATGAAACACGAGGGGACCTGACAGACGTTGCTACAGCCCCACGCAGAGAGAGTGTATCCCGCCAGCAGGCGGTGGGGAGCTTGGGAGATTTTATCAAAAAAAGAGGGAAAAAAAAGTCTGGTGCTTTTTTTCACCATTGAAAAAACTGTGCTTGTTCATTAGGCGTAGAGTTAAGGATACTTGCACGGAGGTGGGGAACGTGTGCAGAAGAGGTGCTGGAGGGCCGCCATGGTGGGACAGGGCAACAGGGAGCTCCGGAAAGGGGCGGTCCCAGCCAGGAGAAGGAACCTGCAGCCCCTGTGCACCCCTCCGTCTGTGTCCAGCCGGGCTCATGCTGTTGGGTTGATTGATTGGCGACCTCGATGGACCTGCTGCAGCCATGGCTGCTGTTAGGAGGTCCAACTTGAGCCCTGGGGCCGCTCTTGCCCCAGAAGGCACTCATGCGTCCCCGGCAAGAAAGGGTCTGAGTCCCTTGAGTTGAGCAGGAGGACGGATAATGTTCCCTCTTTGGGGTGGTGGATGTGAGATGCTGAGGCCTGATCCTGCCTCTTCACCACTGCTTGGAGCTCCAGATAATGGAGGGACATTGAGGGGGCGGAGCCAGATCTTGCTCCTCTCTTGCCACTCTAAGGGCTGCAAGGCTAAGCAAGAGGGCAGAGGAGACTGCGTGCCCATCACCCCCAGTCCCTGCCGGCAGGGTACAAGGGCCCCGGAGAGAAGGACAGAAGAGGGGTCTGCAGAATCTGCCCCATCCCCAGTCAAGTCCTTAATATGGGCCTGGGGTATCTAGGGAGCCTGTGGAGAATTGGGAGGGAGAAGGGAACTTGGTTCCCCTTTCTCACTCACATGGTACCCATGGCCTCTGGCACAGATGTTGGTGCACAAGAAAGTCCTTTCCCACAGCCTGGTTGGCACACAGTTCTGCCAACTTGAAAGTAGATGTGTAGACATCAGAATATAGAATGTGGGTGTTGGACGTTTTAGCAGGCATCCAATCTACAGAGACAAGAGGGGATGTGTTCCTAGCATCACTCATGTTGTGAGCCAAGAGCCAAGGCTGGAATCCTTGACTAGGACATCAGCTCTAGTTTCCTCCCAGCCTCCCTACTGCCTCCCTTTCTGCTATCCAGCTTTGCACATTAGCCTCAGAAGAAAGACAACTAACAGGAGTGACCTCCCTATACCATCCTCAAAGCCATCTTCCAATGAAGTTCTGGTCTTGACTCCTGCAGCTGTTGAGGGAGGATTTTCAACTTCCTGTACCTGTCAGCGACCAGCTTCTCCTGAAATCCTGACCCAGCGTGTCCTTTGCTCACTGGTGGTATTCCCGGCCTTCTGCTCTGGAGACAGTGACCACACACTGCAGTCACTGATTCGGGCGGTGTTAGGCTCATTGCCACTAGCCCTGAATTGTGTATTGTTCCCGTTGTTGCATTCTCGGAAGTGATAGGTCTCTTCAGCTAGACTGTAAATGCTGCAAGCAGGGACATTGTCCACCTTCCCTTGTCATTCCCAGCACCTGCTCCAGGAGACACTCAACAGGGACTGTGTGGAACATCAGGATCCTGGTACTGGAGAGACATCTGCCTGAAAGAGTCTATGTCAGCTCCTGTTGGGAGCAGGTCTCCGCTGCAGCCCAACCCTGGACTGTGTCTGCCGTGTTAGAAGGCTCTGTCTCAACCTTGAATCTACTTTCTATGGATCCTGGCAGCAGCGAGACAGACTTCAATCCCTTTAACTACAAACAACATCTCCGTAGATGTGCTGAGGTTCCTGTCCCCCTCGGTCTTTACTGATTCAAGGGCATCGAGATTAGATTGGGGGCTGAGGACAGGGGATGGCTTTGAGAGCAGTGGGAGCCAGAGAGAGGGAGGAGGAGAAGAGTGGCAGGCATAGGACAATCCCCTAATCCTAGTCTGCTTGGTCTGTTCCACATGTGAATGAAGAAAGCTGTGTCTGATTTAGGATTTGGTGGGTTTTCCCTCCCTCCCTAGTCTTCCATCATCCCATCTCTCTGCTCCTTTTGGAGTTCAGAAAAATCATGGGACGGTGCTAGAAAACACACGGTGTGGTGTCCTGTGCCAGGCTGAGAGTAGGGATCCTCACTACACCCAGGTGAGGTAGGGGAGCACAGAGGGGGGTGCACTGGTGTTTCTCCCCACCTGAAGGAGAAGGAAGCTGAGGCACAGAGGAAGAAGCGAATCTGCCCAAGGTTATCCAAGAGCCACAGCAGAAGAACAGCAGTGAGGAATCGGGGCCTCCCTGACCCAGCCAGCAGCATGTTCCTTGCCAAGGAACAGGCTTGGCACATCTTGGAGGAGGCCTGGGGTCTTCCCCTCCAGGCCCCTGGTGCATGACCTCAGCCCTGAGTGGCTAGCCAAATGCACTTGGCCAAGACCAAGCGTCCATCACCTATGCCATGTTGTCTGCATCTCTGGTGAGATTTTTGCATAGGGAGGCATTGGCTACATTGCCTGTTTGTGACAGGACAAGAAAAGGAAGCAGTCGGTGTGAGCAGGGGGCCTTTAGGCTGCAGGGACACAGAGGCAGATGCAGCTGGGGGCCAGGTCCCCCCACCTACACTGGGAGTTCAGTCTTGAACAGAGGGACAGCCAGGGCCAAGCAGAAAAGCCCTGGAATGGGGAAGCCCTTGCTCTATATGAGCCTCTTCTTCTGCTCCAGTTCCATTTTCCTTTCCTCACTGAACCCCTCCGAGGCCCCCAAGACCCCCACCCACTCCTCTTCCAGGCAGTCTACCCCATTTCCTTCCGTGCACTGTAAACATGAGAAAAAACACAAGCAAAAGGAAAGAAACAAAAACAACAAAATGAGACACCACCCCCCCACCCGCCTCCCAATCTGAGTGAACGAAAAAAAAAAAATCATCCCTTTTCACTGTAAACAGAATTTGGCTTTTTTTTTTTTCCTTTTTCACCTTGAATGCCTTTTTTCCTTTACTCTCAAAAAGACGGGCTGACTGGGGCTGTGGTCAGTTGGTTCAGTCAGGCACCAAAACAAGAAACTCAATGAGAAATATTTGGTGCGGATTCCTAATAGTGACATGTCCACCACAAGATGACTAGAGCACCACACACGACAGTTCTTAAGCTAACATGCTCCGGCTGTCACCCACAGAAATAGCTAGAGACCCCTACATGGTTTCTACGTGGTAGAGAGGTATATACACAGTCCTGCAGAGGACAGGATCGAGGGGCCGGCCTATCAGCTGGGACTTCCGGGCTCACGTCTGGGTTTTCAGCAACCTGGGCCCCTCCTTCCCATCCTGGCTCCAGGCACGGCCAGCTCCCTCCCTCCCGCACAGCAAGGTGGTTGGGGGCAGTCGCCATTCTGGATTGGGTGGGAGGGGGAGTTCTTCCTGCCTCCGCCCACCCACCCCCACCTCCTTTCCCTCAGGGGTGGGTACCACCAACTCCTCGTTCCACAAAAAATGTGCTTGCAGGTTTTTCCTCTACGTCAAATGGCTCAGAAGGCAAAGTTTGGCTGCAAGGGCTATGGCCGTGGGGGGACCTGGTGAAGGAAATGGGGTGTCCACTGGTGAGTTCCTCCCTCAGCTGTCAGCTCCCAGCTGTGTTTCAATGTCCACTCGGCAGATGGGGCATTTCTTGCTCATGGCAAGCCACTGGTCCACGCACAGTTGATGAAAGAGATGCATGCAAGGGAGACGTCTGGAAAAGAGAAGAGAGTCGGAGGTCAGCAGTGGGGAGACATGGGCTGCACCTGGAGTAGGGGATCCCTAGGCACCTGCCACCCGGGTCTTGGAAAGCTAGTCCTAGAGCAAGGCTGTAGCTGAGAGGCAGCCCATGGTAGGACATGAAGCCTCAAGAGGCTTCTCCTCCATGAAACTCTTCCCAGCAGCCTGGAGTAAAGCCATGACTTTGTCTTAGACCCACCCAAGCCAAACGCTATACTGTTCTCTTCCAGCTCACACTGTGAGCACTGGGCATCAGGAACATTATGAGCCCCACCTTCTCAGAGTAACACTCTCGAGCACATGTTCTCCCTGACCCAGCCACACAGCACAGGGGTTGGTCTCCAACAGCCACAGCAGAAGAGACAGAGAGGGGGACTCAAGGTGATGCCCTTACCGCACATCTTCTCCATCTTCCAGCATAGACAGACAAATTGTGCATTTCTCATCGGTGTCTGACTCCTCCCCCTCGTCCTTCTTGCCCTTGCCTTCCTGGGGTCTTCGCTACAAGAAGCAGAGAGAGGAGCCTTGGTTATCTAGACTAGACTCCATCTAATGACCACAGGCTTTTGTCCACAGTCTCTTCCAATCCTTGTGGTCTTGTCTTGCTCCAGAAGCCAGTCTCCTTCTCAGTTCTTCCCCATACCACCCCCTTGCTGCAGGAGAGTACAGAGCCAGGTGAGGAAGAGGCCAAGTGGACTTAATGTTGGCAAACCAGGCGTTTTTTTATGGGCACAGAGTTTGGAAAGGAATTGAGTTCCTCGTTAATCAGCGAATCCTTGGCAAAGCTGTACCACATGCATGCACGACTCCCTGCTCTCCATGTGCAGGGTGCTGCTCCTTACACACTGTCCGTCCTAGACTCCAGCTTCCAGGCTTCACCCACCAATTTGGGATTCAGTATGCTTCATTCAATCACTCACTCATGCAACTAATTCTCATTTACTTATTCACTCAGTACTAAGAAAGAAAAAATGATCAATTTGGCATGCATCCTTCTTCTGTAAGTTATTATATATTACTGGACATCACTTCCTTTAAGATTGGCACTTATTCCAACATGATGTCCAATACCTCACAAGCTCCTCTAGTTGATTTTAATATTTTTGTCTTTAACTCTTGATTGGTGTGGATAATAGTTTCCCCTTCTAGAAACACTGCCCCACTACTGGCCAAGTGCCAGATATATCTTTGCCACTTAATCAGTATTCTGAAGAACAAAGCATGTATTCTGTGTGAGGTCAGCCCATCTTCCATGATCCTGTCTCCATGCTATGCAAATAGTCTGATAACCATGGGAAGATGCCTATTCCATCCCCTATCCAGAAAGAGCCACTAGATGAATTTTACCTAGAGAGCAACCTTGGGGCCTGACTTAGATGCCAGGGATCTGTTTGCTCTGGTCCTAGCGCTGGAGTCCCTGGTCCTGCTATAGTTTAGGGAGTTCAACAACCTTACTGAATTAGTAAGGTGATTGTAATGTCATTTTGTAAATGACAAAAAAAAAAGCTTCCTTCTGCTCTTAGACTTGCTCTATCCTCTACCTTGTCCTGCATGCCTTGCCATCCTTCTATAGTTAGTTTCTCTTAATCCAGAAAATCACAATCACATTTTTCATCTCACATTATTGTTATGGATTTTGAGTTCGAGGATAATGCCTGCATAAAAGTTCAGCTCTGTTTGTTGAAGGATTGACCTCCTCCTAGTTGGCCATGCTAGCAATCAAGATTCAACCACTTGTCTATTTTCTATTGTTTTTTTCCGTCACTAGTTATAATTGCCTTTCACCAATCATTTTAGCTTAACATTCCCTTGTTCAGCTCTGCGTAATCTTTATTTCTTTAAACTAGCTTTTTTCAAATCTTGTCCTAGTTCCTCTTTTGTATTTTTAATCTCTTAAATCATCTGGCTTTTTCCTTCTTTTCCTTATTTATGTCACTTTTGTTTTAACTCCTTTTAGCATCTTATTTAATGTTTTATTCCTTTTTCATGACCTTCTCAATATCAACTTTACTCTTTAATTTTCATGTTTTTAGTTTTAATTTTACATTTTATCTTTTCTCAGTTCTTATTTTTTCACATTTTTATATTCTGATTATTTTATATTTTTCATATTTTCATTCTTATATCATTACTATTTTCACTTAGTAGAGTTTCTTTCTTTCTCTCATGGCTTGAAAGCTTATTATTTTTTATTATGGACTAATATTCCATTCTATGGATTTATCATATCCTTTGTGTATTAAAGCATGTCTTGCAAATTTTTCATTTATTTTCATCTAAATGTGTTTTAAAATCTCAGATTCCAGGACTTAACCCTACCCCAGATTCCTAAGTAATAATCTGGAAATTCTATATCTACAAGCTTAGAAAAAAGCCTGTGTGGCTTTGTGCCATTAAAAGCTCCACAAATGATCCTGTTGCTCAGTCAGATATAGAGACTCCTGCATGGAAGTCTTAGTTACTCACTGTACACATCTAAGAGTAGACTTGGGGTTCTTCTTGAAAGCAATCCTAGCATTCTGTGCAGGACTGCTTTCTGCCCACCTCATTCAGATACAGACATTGATATGTCTGCACACCTATATGTGTCCACATATACATATGCTCACTAGCACATTTACATACATTTATACATACAGCCCTTAAATATCTTGGGCAGAAGACCCTGGAAAGATAATCACAGCTTCATAGCAGCAATCCAGAGCAAAGGCGTCTGGATTTTGGACTGTGCTCCTCTGTAAACAATCAGGTCAGAATAAAGTGAACCCACTGACAAAAATCCCCTCTCACTCACTGGCGACATGATCTGGGCTTCTGGCAAACCCACCTTCTTGTATTTGTGAGGGAAGGTGAACCTCTCAATGGTGTTTTGTACAGCTCCCCGAGTCACATTTCCCAACCTGTCCTCGAGCTGCAGTAGCTCCTGCAAAGAAAAACATGAATGTGTGTACTATGAGCAATGAACATATATTTAACAAAGATGAGAAGCCCTGGAGGATGTTAGCAGAATGCATGTACATGGCCACCAGGAGGAATTTGGTTGGCAAAGTTGCAGTACCTCCACTCCTGTTCTCTTCTTCTCGTTCTTACTTTCAATGCTAGGGCTTCTGCCACTCATGCCCAACCCACCAGCAGGAGGAAGGGAGAAGGGATAATAAAGCATGAAGGCATCACTACCAACCAAGGCAGCTCCAGATAGAGCAACATACCTCGTAGCTCTCCCGCACAGCAGAGGTGTGTCTACTAGGATTTAGTCCCTGGAGAGCAAGGAAGTGAAGTTGAGGGTAAGGGTAGTTTCGAATCTCATGGACGACCTGTTGGAGAGAGAAAAGGTTTTGGATAGAACAAGAACTCCAGACTCATTCAAAATGAGCACAAAACTCCTTCTCCCACTACCAGCTGTCAGTGCACCCTGATTTGCTGCAGGCAGAAGTGATGTCTTTGTTGCTTTTGGGTCTTTTGTTCCTCATTAAGAACCTAGTTTAGCATGCCCCACCTGAGGAACTCTGGGATGTATAGGAGGTTGGGTGGGGCTTCTCCCTTTATCTCCCCACTTACCCTGACACAGAAAAAAAGAGAGAGAAAGAGAATGGGGAAGCAATGGCCTTACCCATTTTCCTGTAGCCCTTGACCTTTTGTGCCCTAATCAACTATGTAAAATAATAATTATATTTAAAAAAGGAATAAACCTGCAAGTAGAAGAAAAAAAGAACCAAGCTTGTGGGACAGATAGTCAGCTTAACTTAGGATGCTTGCTGAAATGCCTGTATCTCCCATCAGAGTGCCTTGGTCCAATACCCAATTCAACTCCTGACTCCATCATGCTGATGTGGACCCTGGAAAATAGTGGTGATGTGGGATGGAAGAAGCCCAGATCCTCCCTCGCAGGATCTAATGTCATCAGAACAACAGCCAGGAGCCCTGAGCAGTCCTCAGAAACAGAACAGTAAACTTCTTTGGGACTTGGAAGGGGAGCTTTCTCTGGTCCTAACTCAGTTCCAACTTTGGCTCCCCACCCTCTCTTGCAATGACCATCAGGGTCACTCCGGAACCCCGCAAAAATTAGATCAGATAAACAGAGACCAATAAAGAAAGCTTAAAACAGACAGGAAACAGTCAGTTTGGACTCTCATATACCTAACTAGGCAGGACACAAAGGTATTGAAGGTATCTCTGCACACCCCTCCTAAAAACTGTTCTGCTCCTCAATTGTTACCATACGGTTTGTTTGAGGAATAAACCTGTTTGAATACTTTAAGCTGCTAAATACATAAATGAAAATAGACATGAGACAGCTGAATAGTACCATGTAATTATTTTAAGGTGTTTACCAGCCAGTTGTGTATAAACTTTAATTGAGATGTCAACGAAGTAGTTACAGGATGTGGTTAAGAACTTGCATTTTCTAACATACTGGTCACTCAATATCATGTCAATTAACTTCATGATGTTGTAAATTGGTGTTGAAATTGTATAGGGGCTTTTCATTGGAGGGGATGATATTCTGCCAGCCCTACTTTCAGACCAGGGGATGGCTTCCCAATGAAACTGTTGAATTTATCTGGACAATAAGATGCTGGACTCCCTGCATGGTCCATGCCCACAAGGAAGGAATCATGACTGGTTATAATCTGTACTACTGTAACAATGTGGAGGAATTCAATGTGGGTGGGGGGAGGGTTTGGGGGAATCCCAGAGCCTATGAAACTGTGTCATAAAATGAAATAAATGTAGTTTAAAAAAAAAGAAAAGAAAATCATGGTGATGGTAGGCTCCCCACTTGGGAGACCTGATTGAATTCCTGGCTCCCAGCTTCTACCTATCCCAGGCCTGGCCATTACAGGTATTTTGGAAAGTGAACCAGCATAAATAGGATCTCTCTCTTTCTCTCTCCCTCGTTCTCTCTCCCTACTCCCCCTCCATCAAATAAATAATTTTTTAAAAACTAAAGTACAACTGAGCACTTGCTTCATAGCAGACCTTTTTCTGAGCTGATCATATGACTCAATTATCTTGCTTGATATAAAATGTGGGTGAAATTACTATTCCATTTTACTGATGGAATAAGTGAAGCACAGATAGATTTAATAATTGGCCCAAGTTAAGCAACCTAGAGACAGAACCAAGCTTTAAGTCCCTGGCAGCTGGACATCAGAATGCACTCCCTTTGCCCCTGTTCTACACTGTCTTCCAAAACAGTATTATGATTCAAGACTTGGGTCAGGGCCAGGGTGAAAGCACAGCACATAAATGGGTTACAAATGACTCAGTAATTGAAATAAATTGTTATAATGCTGAAATTCAGCTGAATGAGGTCATAGGATGTATGAGATCCACCCTGCCTCACCTTAGGCCTACAGCCTTGCCCCCACTGACCATGACTGCCTACATTGCCCCTTTCCAACCATTGCACCTCTGCTCCATTTGCTTCTAGGCCAGCACCTCCTCCCATATCCTCTCCCCAAGCCAAAGTAGGACCAGGACTGGGGGTCAGAGAACAGGAGCAGATAGCCTTCTGGGAGCCAGGACATGGAGGATCCAGGACACAAGACAGACAGAAGTCCAGGGTAAAGGTCCCAGGGCAGAACAGAGCCTTGGGCCACAGCCCACCTGTGGCACCCAGCAGGCAACAGGAGAGCTGAGTTCCTAGCAGAGTCCTGTCACTCACCATCTGCGTGGAGGAGGAGTTTCTGGGGAAGTGGTGCATTCGAGGAGTTGCCAGGTAATGCTGATAGTGCTGAGGGATGGGCCGCACCTGGAACTGGGCAGGACTCAAGCCGGCGTCCACACTGAGATCCCTGCAGGGACACAGCCTCTGTGAAGCACAGAGTCTGACAGGCTGGCCACCCCCAGCCCTCCCAACTCCACTCCTAAAAGCATTTGGAAATTCATTTCACTTAAAAATGCATGGATTACATTAAAGAGGAACAAATGGCTGATTTCATATCTGGAGAGAAAATATGTAAGGTGAGACTAAAATATCATTCAACTTGAGTCAGCAAAACTCTCCTGGAGGGGGAGGAACGTTGTGGCTCAGAGAACTAAGCTGCTACCTGCAAGGCTGGCATCCTAGACTTGGAACACCAGTTTGGGTCCCAGCCATCCCCACTTCCAATCCTGTTGATGCACCTAGGAAAGCTGTAGAGAATGATTCAAGTGCTTGGGTCCCTGCAACCTGTGTGGGAGACATGGATGAAGTTTGCAGTTCCTGACTTCAGCCTGCTCCAACCCCCGCCATTTGCCAGCATTTGAACCAGTGGTTAATTCTCTCTCTCTCTCTCTCTCTCTCTCTCTCTCTCTCTCTCTCTCTCTCTGGCTTTAACTGCCAACATATAGGCAACAGAATTAAACCAAGAAACATCATAAGTGAAAGTGATACCACCAGAATGTGACAAGAAAATTCAGATAAGGGAAAACTTTGCAAGAAAAACAGGCTTCTTCAATAAATACATTTAAAAGGAAAAAGAAACAGGCTCATTAAAGAAATAGCTGCCTCTAGCTGTGATGAGTAACTTTCCCACTGTAAGCGTATAGAAAAAAGAACAGAATTTATGAAATATCTCTTTTACAGACATTGAATAGTGTAGCCACAGCCACCTTGGCTTTGTTCAGGAAGATACATTCCAGGAAGAAGCAGGGAGGTGATTCCAACAGAGCACGGTACTCTTGATCACTTGAGGACTTGGGGGTCTTATTCTAAGGAGGCTGAGTATTTGGAAAGTTGTGGCACAGTGTTTTAAAAAGGAGGAAGCTGCACAGAATGACAGCTCCAGGATTCTACAGAGGGGTCCACTAGAGTCTTTGCTGAATGCTAAGACAAACATGCAGTGGGTAGAAGTCCAAGCTGAGCTAAAGAGCAACCAAGGAATAAGTGACTGGTGCCTGGAAGTCACACAGGACTGGGTCACATTCCCATTCCAACAAAATGGCCTGGAGAATATCTGTTAAAATCAGCGTATTCCAAAGAGACCCCAGGAGAGCCTTAAGTTATCTTAGGAACAGTAGAGAGTATTGCTTGCCCTAGAGTTGTTCTAGACCTGCTGAAGGAAGACTTATAAACAGGCTTCAGAAGGATGACCTGCAAGTGCAGCTTGTCAGGAAAATAGGCCACAGTTCCCTAAATTAGGAATGAGGAACCTCTTTATTGCCAGAGCTGTTTGAATATCTGTATCATTATTCATGGGCCACACAAAGTTATCAACTTAGAAATCAGTCTGCTATAGATCTATTAAATCTTGAGTCCGAGTCCCGCCTGTGGTTGCCCTGATCAGGCCAGATCACATGATTTCACAGACTGTACATGATCTATGGGCCAGATATTCCCCACTCCTGCTAATGAATATGTCAAATAGAATTATTCAACAATGTGTAAGTCATAATGACCATCATTTAATGAAAAATGGCAGGATGAGCCAAGAAGGAGAGTAATATTTTCTATATTCAGGCGAAAAATCAAACAGTAAAAATACCCGAAGGCCAAGAAATGACAGAAATGATTAAATAACAACAATCATACTCAAAAACAGAAGATAAAATATAAATAGAAAGAGGAAAACGGAAGAGATTTTTTAGAATGACCCAAATGGAGCCTCTCGAGATTAAAGGCAGAGTATCTAAAATGAGAAACTCGCCGCATTGGATCAGCAGCAGCTTCGATTCTACAGAAAAGAAGATTAGTGATTTGAAGACAGAGCAATTAAAATATCTCAAAGGAATTACACAGGAAAATGGCTGAGAACTTTCCTGATTTGACAAAAAGCTCAACCAACACCAAGTAGTTTAACACACACACACACACAGGGAAAAAAATTACCAAAGGTCAAGTGCAGCACAGCAGTCAAGTCACTGCTGGAGATGCCCATATCCCAGGTCAAGAATGCCTGGCTGGAGCCCTGCCTGCCCCATTCCAATGCAACGTTCAACTACTGCACAATAGGGCAGGCAGCAGACAGCGGCTCAGCTGCTTGGATCCCCGCCACTCATGGTTGAATTTCTGGCCCCTGGCTTCATTTCAGGCATTTGGAGAATGAACCAATGGATAGACAATCTCTCACTCTGTGTGTGTCTCTCTCCCTCTCTCTCTTTCCCTCATTCAAATAAAATGCAAATAAAAAATAGTTTTCAAAATCACCCCATGACACCTAATAATCAAATTCTCAAAAAAAATAAATAAATAAATTTTAAAAGACTCTTCAGACACAGAAGAACTCAGATAAGAACACAGAGTTCTCATTAGCAACAAAGCAAGCCAGAGGATGACAGAATGACATCTTAAATGCTGAGGGGAAAAGCTGTCAACCCAGAAGTCTGTACTGAGCAAAAATATCTTTCAAACTGAAGGCAAAACAAAGCCTTCTTCAGACAAAGGTTGAGAGATTGTGCTGCTAGCACTTGAAATGTTAAAAGAAGCTCACGAGACTGAAGGAAAAGAAGACTGGATAGAAGCTCAAATCCATACAAAGAAAGAATGCCAGAAATGAGAATGAGACATATGCAGGACATACAAGATTTCTTTTTCCCCTTACAAAAAAAATTTAATTGACTATTTAAAGCAGAAATTTGCAAATTTTGTAATGAATTAGATAGCTAATATTTTATGCTTCAAAGCCATACAATTTCTGACACAACTGTTCAAATGTCTATTATAGTAAAAAAAAAAAAAGGCAATCATAAACATTCTACATGGAAACAAGCAGGTGTGCCTGAGTTACAATAAAAATTTATTCATAAAAATAAGGAGCAGACCAGATTTGATCCATAGGCCAGAGTTTGCTTGCTTAAACAAAAATGAGTACATTTTTTTGTGATTATTCTAACACACACAGAAGTAAAACTTACAAAACTAATAACAAAGATGGAAACAGGATAATGAAAATGTACTGTTCTAATACTTTTTAAAAGATGAAACCAACTCAAAACAAGGAGTAGGATACTGAATTTATACAAATCACATAGATAATCACATTAAGTACAAATAATTTAAGGACTCCAGCTAACCAATTCAGCAACTGGAAAACAAGTCAACAATATAAAACTAATTAAAATCCCAGTTCAAATGTAAAGAAACCAATGGGTCAGAAATGAATAAGGGAAAAGAGAATACACAAGCATTAACTGGAAGAAAGCAGAAATGGCTAGGTTAACGTAAGACAAGGTAGACTTTGAGCAAGAGATGTTGCCAAAGACAATAAAGCACATTTCAGAATCATGAAAGGATTAATTCCTCATGATGACATAGCAAGATTTGTGTCTGAATATTCATGGAAAACACCTATGCCTTAATATGTATTACAAACCAAAATAAGTAAAGCAAAAAGTAAAAAACTCAAAATAGGAATAGACAAATTCAGTTGTCTTCCCTTATAATTTATAGAACAAGAAGATAAAAAATTCAATACTAATATGAAAGCCATGGATACTATTAACCAACTTGATCTAATTGGCATTTAGTGAACATTCAACAAAAATAGATTATACATGCTTTTAAGAACAGAACATTTCCTAGAGTGGAAGTTATGCTGAATCATAAAATAAATCTTTGTCAATATACAAAAATTAGAATTATAAATCAATAACAAAGATTTATAGAAAAATCTCAAACATTCATAAAGTAAGCAGACTCCTAAATAAACCAGTATCAAAATGAATTATGGTGGAAATTATGAAATTCTCAGAAATTCACAGCTTTGTCTGCTGCTGTAAAAGAGAAGAAAGAACCAAAGTCATGATCTAAGGTTTCACTATAAGAAGCTCAAGGGAAAAAAAAATGAAAATAAGCAGAGGTGAGGCAACATAAACAAATGAAGCCAATAAATAAATAAAATAAATAAAGCCAAGCTCAGAAATTCAAAGCAAATGACAGAACCAAAGGTTGTTTTCTAGAGGTCAATAAAATTGATGAAACTCTAGCTACACTGACCATGAACAAGGAAGAAGATGCAAATCTCCAGTATCAAGGCTAGAAGAGAGAACATTATGACAGGTTCTATAGATGTTATAGATAATATAAATATATAAACGCTTTTATGTCCAGGAATTCAATGCAATGGGAAAACTTCTTGAAAGACATAAATTACTAAAACTAATCTTTATAGCTAGAGAAAGCCTGAATAGTAACGATACTATTAAAGAAATTAAGTTCGTAATTTAGAACTTTTCTTGTCAAGAAATCTCCAGACCTAGATGGTTTCATGAGTGGATTCCACAAAACATTAAAATAAAACAAAAAATGTCAACCCTATACAAACTCTTTTAGAAAATAGATTAGGAAGCACTGCTCAACTTATTTAATGAGGCACACATCATACTGGTTTTAAAAACACACACACGCACACACATTTTGAGGGGAAAAAAAGTAAAACTCAAAACTATAGTCCATTATCACCAGTGAAGAGTGATACAAAAGTTCCTAACAAAATTTTAGTGATTGAAATCCAATAATGAGACAATCGACCAGTCCCTGTATGAACTTTATTTGGACCTCCATCAGAACCAACTGTACCAATCAGAGAAAATGGAACATTGATTGGATGCTTGATTATATTAAAATTGTTATTAGCAGTCTTCAGAATTAATAATGAAATTGTAGTAAGGATCTCTCAAAGTACAGAATGGAATATTTACGCAGGAAATGACAGGATGTCTGGATTTGTTTCCAAATAAAAGCAAAGATGAGAGACCAAGTAAGTGTAGCGATGAAGCAAAATTAGCCAGATTGGCTATGGGTGGATGTCAAAGCCAAATAGGAGTTCATTATAGTATGCTCTTAATGTTCTATCATCCAGTATATTCTATAATTTTTCAAAGAATTTAAAAAGTCGATTTACTGTGCAAAGGTGATGTCTACTCCAAGTCAAGTGGTTATACAGCTTCAGAAATGCACAAGAAGCAAAACTATTATATTGACTGGCATCTGTATGACAGAGTACACTACTGGCAGTCTTCTCTGTCTACATGCTGTGTACATCTACATAGGATGTATGGTCTGGCCAGCAGGACACAGCCTCCTCCTGGACAGGAAGGTACAGCCAGGCCCTAAGCAGCCAGAGAAAAGCCAGAGTCTCAGAAGGAACACCTTCAAATCATCCAGGAACAGAAGAGCAGGTGACATTGGGACTTTGAGCCTTTCCATCCATCCTCACTTTGCCTTGGGCAGGCCCTGACTGAATTTTCCATGTTGAGCCTGGCATTGCAAAGCCCCTGCTTATGATCTCTTCAGAAAATTCCTCCCTGGCCCCACAATCCCTCAAGAATTCTAGATCGGATTTGCCTGGGAAATGGCCTCTCACCTTTCTGCCGTTGCCTCTGGGGCACCTGACTGGGTTTTGAAATGGAGGTGCAGAGTTCCCAGAAGCAGCCCGTGGGCTGGAAGCCACAAGGCTCTCCTGGACCCAGGAGCTGAAGCTGTCCTGTGGGCTTGGCCACAGATGGTTCTTCTTGTCATTAGCAAGCAAATATCAACCTGAACTGGGCTTGGCAATGACAGTGTTCTTGCATGTGATGTGGTCCAGCTGCCATGCAGTTTAAATTCTTCCCCAGGCTCTTACCAGTGAGCTGGACCCCAAAGTGCCATTTGGGAGTGACTCCAGACTCAGAGTGGGAGTGGGCTGTGAGGCCTTTGCCTGCTGCTTCCACACAATCAGGCCAGGATGGCCAGCTGGAAGAAGTTCTTGGAAGAGTTCAGATGCCCCAGGGCAGCCTCAGGCCTGGGGAGAGACTCCCAGAATGACCCAGAGCAGAGCTGGGGAGGGGTGTGGGCGCTATAAACACTCCTGTGAGCCACTTCTGGTCCTGGAATAACGAAGCTGCCCACCTTCTGGCATAAGAGGCCTCTCTGGGAAAGAAGGGTGGGATGTTGTTACCATGACCACCATCACCTGGGAAAGCCCTCATCATCCCTTCACTGAACCTGGCTAGAGCAGGGCTCATCATAGAGACTTCCTGTTCGAGACACAGGAAAGGACAGCAGAAAGGGCTGGGGGCTGGACACACGTGGACTCAGGACCCCATTCTTTACATCTCTGGGGACCAACAGGGCCAGGAACCTGGAGGACTTGAAGTGAAGGAGAAGCAAGAGGAGAATTGGCTACATAAGGAAAACCAGAGGAGGGTCTCCTGCCCAATTCCACCGGCCCTGTGAGACCAGTGTATGTGTTTGAAGCCCTCAGCCTTAGAAAGAGCTCTGGGTGCTCTGTGCCTGATGAATTGAACTAGATGAAATTAACTTGACTACTGAGGGACAGAATTTAATCCAAACTGCAATTAAATCTTCCTCATTTGAATCTGCTAATTAGAAAAAGGCTGAGCTGAAGTTGGCGGCAGCGCAATTTATCTCTGAAACAGTTGTTCAGTTTAATGTGGAGTGTGGCTGAGCACAGGCAGGGGCTAGAGGCCATGGAATGCTCCATTCCATTCCTAGAAGTGTCTTCTAGGAGCACTCAGACGGACCAGCCTTTCCCACAGAGGGATCTTTGGTTCCATTCTTTTAAGAAGCATTGCCAGTCTAAAGGTTGCATGAGCAGCATAAAGAATTCCTGGATACCCTTCACTTAGATTGCACAAATGTCACCATTTTATTAGCTTACTGCATTGCTGTTTCCTCTCTTTGTCTCTTTCTCCCTCCACACAAATACCCTGTCCCACACACACAAATGCACATGTATACATATATATGTACTCGTACATGTACATTCTGCATGCATAGGTGCAAGTGTGTGCAAGCATGTGTATGCACAGATTTACAATACACACCTCTGCGAACATACATGCAGGCATAAATGTGTAGTTTCTCCCTCTGAACTATTTGTTAACAAGTTGCAGGCATACTGCCCTTTATCTCTAGACTTTGGCCCACCCACACACCATTTAAAGTATTTCAGGGCCTCGGTGAGACCCTATTAAGATCAGCTAAACCATGGAGTGGATGGAACCTATGGTCTACAATGAACAACACTGCACCTCAGGACAACCAATGCCTGTGTCCTGAGTGCAGGGCATTGTGGGAAGACTTCCCAGGCTCTGCTGACCACCAGAATGCATCAACCAAGCCCTCGACAGAATCCTCATGGCCTCTTTCTCTTGCTGGGTCCTCCAAGTATAATAGGGACTTGTGTTCACACTGACCACCCCACCCTGCACTGCCTTGCTAGTATGCCCTGGCACATCTCTGTGGATGCCTCAAGACCCACCACCTGCAAGAAGACTTCTCTGACTCCAACTCTTGGAACTTCTCTCTTCTCCTCCTCCCTCGGCCCCCAGCCCCCACCGAGGGACCACTGGGTCACAATCCCCACTGAGCTGGGGAAACATTTTTGCAAGTGTCTTCCTCTTCCCCCACAAGCCATGACCCCTGAGCCTTGGGCTGGGCATATGGTGTAGCCCAGTGATATCTGAGTCAATTGCTGGCACCAGATCAGGTGAAGCCATCTGGCCCTGAGGGCAGCCAGGCAGGGACAGGCTAGGGGCTGAGGACCAAGCAGCCGGCATGAGCCAAAGGAAAGGAAAAACAGAGACTCCGTGGATCTGACAACCCCTCCTCCCCCAGGAGCCCTGAAGACTCACCAGTCAGTGCCCTCAGCCAGATACCTGGGCTGGGGTGTCTGCAGTTGGTGGCTGAAGTCGAAGCTGGGGTGGAGGCGATGGGGATGGACGGACACACGCTCCTGACTTCGCCTGCACCAGAGAGCAAGAAGGGCCCATGGGATCCAGGGTTGCCTGGACCAACCCAGCCCCCCTGGAGCTCTGAGGGACCCAGCCAACCCCAGGAGGGCCCACTTCTGTGGGGTACTCTTGCCCCAGCCCTACACACACACCCACACACAGAGCCCACAGCCCACCAAGAAAATGCCAAGGCAGCTCCCCAGCTGGTGGCAGGTGCCAACCTGGGCCAATCAGCTCCTGAACAGCCACAACTCTGAGGTCTCGTCCAAGTTGTGTCTGCTGTAGGCATGTCACCCAGCCCTCTTCCTACAGTATCTCTGCCCTGGATGGGGCCTCTTCAAGCCTCCTCCTGCAGCCTTTCCCCATCTCTAGACATCCCTTTTTCTCTTGCCATGTTTTTCCCTTAACTCTTCTCTGCACACTTCCCAGCTTTCATATCCTCCCTCAAAGCCTACCTCCTCCAGGAAAAAAAAAAAAAACCCTGACCACTCAACAGGCAACCTTTCCTGCCTCTGACCTCCTTCACCCACACCTCTCGTCCCAGGCACCAATTTCCACCAATACGGACACACGGGGTCTCAACAGGAGTCCCTGGAAGCTTGTCAGGTGGTCTTGAGAGTTCCCATTTTCCTGACAGCACCATGAGGTTATTTGCTTTCCAGTGAGGACTTCACATGACCTGTGAGCATGGCAGACACTGCCCAGCTAGCTGCCTTCTATGGAGGTGCAAAATAAACAGATCTGAAAATACGCTTTATAGAAACGGCCTCTCGCCTCACTATATGCATGTAGGCTGGTTCTTGTCTACTGTTTTATCAGTGCTAAAATAAAATGGGCTTGTTACCCTTAAACAAATCAATGGATAGTTTTTAATTTCTCAGTTGTTATATATGGCTAACATCCATCACCACAGCCCACATAAACAGAAGATCTCGGTGGTCCTCAACTATTTTTCAAGAGCGTTGAAAAAGATCCCAAGACCAAAGAGTTTGAGAACCACTGGTCCTGTCCAACTCCTGTTTTTGAGCTGTGGCTCAGAGAGACAGAGTGGCTTGCCCAGCATCCCACAGCTACTTTAGATTCCTGTAAGTGTCCACTCATATGCTCCCTTTGTGCCCTAAGTATACAGCTGGAAGTTCTCTGCAGGGCTGGCACCTGTCACCTCCTTCAGTGGGGTTCTCGGTGTTGGGATTAGAGGGGCATTAGGCTGCAGGGAGCGGGAAGGATCCCCTAATGAAATGTACTGCTATGGAGTGCAGAATTTCACTGTGAACATCAGGGATCTCCAAGCTTCCCAGTCGAGCCCACACGTGGGCAACTTAACATTCTGTTTTCTGGGGGTTCCCAAGGTGCAGCTCTCCCTTGCCTGAAACTGGTGCACCCAACTGAAGCAAAAGCTACTTTGGCAGACATCCACTGGGTAAGTACTGGTCCAGCCCAGGTATCCCAATCTGCAGCAACCCCCTCCCTACCTTTCCTTGTTCTCGCCCTGGCCCTGCCCTGAGCTGCACCCACCTGGGGTGCGAGACGAGCCTGCGGTGCTGGGCTTCCAGGAGCTGCTGCTGCAGGAGGTATTGCTGGTGCAGGGCCTGAGGTAGGAAGGAGGGACCTGTGACGTCCTGGAACTGCAGGGTGGGCAGCGCGGTCAGTGACTGGTGCAGGGCGCCGCTGTGCTGGTGGGCCGGGGCCATGTGGGCGCTGAGGCCCGGCTGCGACTGTACGGGGTGGGCCAGCGGGAAGTCCGGGGTGAGCTGTTGCGGCTGCGGGGGACCCAAGTGGAAGTGGCGGCAGGAGGTAGCGTGAGGATGCTGAGACCTTTGAAAGGGGGCACCTGAGGAGACAAGGACAGAGAAGGTTCCGTAAGAATTCGCGCCCCCTGCCGGCCACATTCTGACCTTCAGCGAAACCCTTCCCGTCCAGGAGCCTGCTCAAAGTTCTGGTTTTCAAACAGAAAAAGAGTTGTCTTGCGTGCAGTTTTAAGAAAGAATTTTTTTTAATCCCACAAAAATTTAAAATAATATTTAAAAGCAACCATATCCAGGTATACAATGGGCTCAAGCTACATTTCGTTCAAGTTCTGACACTGCATTTGATAATAAGAAAGCCTAGTCTAGGCAAAAATACAATCCCAGAAGAATTTGCAGAAATTCCGTTAAAGGAGGCAGATTCAACCTCACAAATGCTCCTCCTCACAGCCCATCAAAAAGAGAAGGAGGGAATAAAAAGAAGTTAAGCAGACAAGGGAGGAGGGAACAAGAGAGGTGACGACACCAGGCAAGCAAGAAATGCCAAGAGACTTTGGGAAGGTGGAAAGCAGATGGAACAATTACCAAGCACCCACTGAAGAGACCCTCATCCAGAAGTGGAAAGATGTCACATATGAGCCCAGGGGGCAGTGGCTACCTTGGGAGGTGGGGGTGCCAGCCTGGATAACAGGACTGCTAGACCCAGGGCTTCTCCCCTTCCCCTTGCATGACAGTGGCTGCTCTCCCAGAGAGGGTCCCAAGGGAGAAGTTACATGAGACAGAGGAGTGAAGGGGGTGCAGCATCACGTCAAAATACGCAAAAGCCTAGGCATGGAACTTTGGAAGTCACTGCCTCTTCTTCTGTTTGGTTCCAAAAACATTGTCACCAGTATATGCCCTTTCCCTGCCAGATAGCAGACTGGGCAATGCATCTGAAAAGAAAATCAATGCTTCTAGAAAGTGTTCTATCTGCTTAAGCCAAGAAAATGGCTGCAACCCCACTGACTACCCTGTAATGACAAGCCCATCCTCACGCATGCACCTGAGCTCTGCTCATCTCTAATTGGGACACCTTTCAGCACACACAGACAACCCAAGCGTGACAAGTCTCCTAGGGAGGGGGCCCAAGAGAAAAGAGAAGGAGCAGGGAACAGATTTTAAAGAAGAAAACTCAGAGAAAGAGAGACAATGCAAGGACCAGAACAAAATCCACTTCAAAATGCTATCATTAATATCCTCAGAGAAATAAGGCACAAAAGCTCTTTTAAAGGAGCAGTGAGGGGCTGGTGTGGCACAACGAGTTAAACCACTGCTTATGGTGTCAACAACCCACACCGGAGCACTGGAGTCCAAGCTGCTCTGCTTCCAGTCCAGCACCCTGCTGATACATGTGGGAAAGCAGCAGGGAAAAACTCAGGTGCTTGGCCCCTACACCCACATGGCAGATCCATTTGGAGTTCCAGACCCCTGCCTTTAGCGTGGCCCAACCCAGCTATTACAGGCATTTAAGGAAATCGATCAGGTAATAGAAGAGATCTCTGTCTCTCTTCTCTCTGCCCTTTCAAATAAAATAGAAGAATTTTTTTTTTTTCAAGAAAAGAACAATGAGAAAACCACAAAGAGATCTTGGAAATAGAAAGTGTGCGTGGTTCTCAGATTCAGCTGCTGGGTTGTAAAACAGAGCTAGGAACATCTTCCGGGAAGCAAAGAGAAGACAGGAGATGAGGAAGAGGAAAGCAGAGATGAAAACATTGAGGAGTCTGATCGGAAGAGCCCACATTTCACCCGTAAGAAAAAACAGAAGAACAACCAGAAGGAAAATGTGGGGAAAGATTGCAAAAAAAAAAAAAAAGTGTCCTTCAGCACTGAAGTGGTATAGAACAGAACCCTCCGAGAGCCCAGCAAGAGCTGGGGACAGGAACCCCACACCCAGGCACTGCCTGTGCAGTCCGAACAGGCAAAGATGCGATCTAGCACTTCTCAGGGAGAAAGCAAACATATCACACGCAGAGGATCAGAAATCAGAAAAGCATGAGAGTTTTTCCAAAAGCAAAGCTAGGAAGCTCAAAAGCTAGGAGCAACTCCTTCCACGGTATGAAGAGGGGGAAATGAGTTTCAATCTAGATTTCTATGCCCAGGCAAAGCTTGAATCAAGTGTGACAGTAGAATAAAGCTATTTTCAAGCAAGCTGGGTCTCAAAAGAATTAACTCCTCTCAGCCCCTTTGGCTGGGAGGTACTCTCACATACCAAGATTGAGAAAGAGTAAAATTGGGGTCTGCACCCTGAAAGCAGGGGATTACCAACCAATCTGCTCTACGGAGACTTGAACAATTATTTTCTGGGAGATGGAGAGCTGGGATCACTGAAGGGGTTGAGACAGAAACAAAAAAAAAATTGGTAATAAATCTGGCGCCATGAAAATGATATTTGAAGGCATCTTACACCTTGACAGGGAATTTGGGAATGATTTATAAAGGCATGCTAAGAAAGCAAGACAACCATCACACATGACCAGAAAAAGAGGAGATGGTCAATGTGGCAGAGATAAAAGGGGCAGGAAGAAGAAAGAGCTGTAGGAAGGCAGAGAAGTGGAAGACAGACTTGATCTCCAGGGAAGGGAATGGGGTGAAAAAGGCAATTGGAAGCACCAATGGTATTATCATCTAAGCCATTTAGGCTATGTTCGATTTTCTGGTAGACACAGGTGAAATCAATTGAAATACCACAGATTGTATAACTCTACATATCAGAAATGTTATACTTCAACATGTACTCAGCATAAAAGATCATTGAAATGTGTCCATTCCTGCATACCAGCTCGTCAAAACCCGATAGATATTTTGCACTTAAACACAGTTCAGCTCAGATCAGCCACATTCCCTATTAGTGGCTTCCCTCTCAGCCAGTACAACTCTAAAGAAAAACAGCCAGCTGCGCACACACAGCGAGCAGTAGAGCCCAGCTCCTGGTTGATCCGCCTGGAGATAGGGAACTGCTTGTGGGTAAAGTCCAAACCCCATGGCCCAAAACTGAACCTCCACCCGTCTTCTTTACCCTGACCCCACCAAGACATCCACAATGGTCTGCTCAAAGTTCTAGATACCCCTGCATCCCGGCACATTTCCGTGAAGACCTCTGCACCCACCTTTCAGCTGCCTTCCCCATCTCCAAGGCTGGTGGCACTTCTCAGCTCCTGAAAAACAATGCCTCTGCTGCCCCATGGCCCCCAGGGACACCCTGCTCTGCACTCTGAAGAATGCCCCACTCAACTTGGCACCTGACCACCTGCTGGTGTCTACCTTGAGCTGTCGCTTTACACTCACCCTCTCCCCTTGGCTGAGCTCCACGCCTTTGTTTTTCCAGACCCCAACTTGCCTTGCTTGATGTTGGCATTCAGAGATTACCTGGCATCTGACTGTCGCAGAGAGAGGGAGAAACAGGGGCTCATGGTGGGCAGGCAGAGTGACACCCTGTCCTGAGGCTCACCAAGGAAGCTCACCAAGGAGACACCAAGTCCTGAGGCTGCCAGAAGACAGGCTTGTTGGAATCTGAGTTAAGAAGAGAGTGACAAACAGGTGAGTTCTGGGCTTCAGTACTGCCATGAGGCAGAGGTGGGCCAAGGAGTGCTTCCTCCCTCCCACTGCCCTCCTTCCCACTCTGTCCAGGGAAGCCTGCCAGGGAAGTGAGAGCAACAGAAAGGTGGACATAGGCTATTTCTGTCCATTGGCTTTGCAGGCAAAGGTCCTGGGACTTCCGTCTGGGACTCTACACCCTTCACCTGCCATCTCCATCTGCAGCGCAGTTCAGGCTCAGTCTCATCCCATGGCTCAGAAGGGAGATGAAGACAGCAGATACCCGTCCTGCCCTGACCACACCCTGGGCCTCTGCTTAGCCCCAAAACTGAACTTCAGAAGCTTCATGGAACATGAAAGTCAAGAAGTCTGTTTTGCTGCCAAAAGAATCCACATATGAGAAGAAGACTTCAGAGCATTCATAAACAGAGTATTGGGGGAGAAAGAACTATTCATGGATTCCAATGTTTTGTATCCAAACCAACTTATGTGTTCATTTCCCTTGGTGTCTCAGGTGGGCTCTATGTCATGGAAGAGAATTAGCTAAGAGCTGTTGTATTTGAGAAGGAAGATCAGAGAAACAAGGTCTTCAGGGCAGACAGTGGGGGAGCATGGCAAAGCAACGATTGGTGATGGCCGAAGAGCACTAGCACCCCTTTTGGTAGACAGCCTGCAGGGTCCCCACTAGTATCGCCCCTCCAGATGTCACTGATCATGCTCTGTATGCCTCACAGTTGTCCAGGGCTAGGATGTCATCACTGAGAGATCCATCATGCGCTAACCGATCTTTCTAGGGAACGGGGGAAAAGAAGATGCTCCCAGAAACAAATGAAGCAGCCCATTCAATAAACACAGCAGTGTAAAACTCCAATTGGTTGCAGAAGAAAAACACATGCATCTTAGAATGCTAGAATTTGACGCAGATGACTAGAGATGATAAAGGGAATTGGCCAGGAGTAGGACCTAAAGAGGAGACTGGGGCCTAAGCAAGGTGGACATAGAGCTGAGGGTTGAGAGACGCAGTCTAGTCCTGCATGGCTGGTACAGGACGAGCACAGATACAGGAGTCACCTGATGCCCACCTGGCCCACACAGCCACACAAGTGCTCCACAAACGCCTGGGAGCTGGTGGCTGCTACATGCCTTGTAGGCAAGAACGCTGATGAGACTGGCAGCTGGGAAGTGGGCGGATAGGAGGCTGGCAGAGCCCACACAGCCCCACGGGGGAGGAGGGAGAAGGAATGACAGAGAATGCAGGCTGAGGGTGGTGGGGAGTTTTGGTGGAGTTAGTAATTCTGCATCTTTAAAGGGCCATGGCCTTGCCTGGAACGTTGGCATGGTAAAGGCTGGTATGCAGATGTAAGCCCAGTTGTGCCCTGAAAGTTCAGTGCTGATGGGGGACGGAGGGCAAAGGGAGCCAGGAAGCTTGGTGAAGCCAGAGGTGACCCTGAGCAAGTGCAGTGGCTGGTTTGTGCCACCCAATGCCCTTGTTGAAATCCCAACACCAAGGTCA